TGTTCAACGGCAAGACTGTTGATATTAGCAGGAACGCACCGACCGGCTGCAGTGAGGAGGCCTGTAAAAACGCTGGGGACCGACATATATCCTGCTTTGTTTAGATCATTTGGCACCTTTTTCTGCGTTAGGTGTTTGATTTACAGGTTCTAAAACTCCACTCCTATTCTAAGGGTGTAGCAAACACACGGCGGGGAAACTGTTCCTCAAACATGTTTTTTTTTTACCATATTGCCTAATCATTGGGTTCTCCTGAACTTTCTATATCACTTGTACACTTTGCTTGCTAGAAGCCTAAATATTGAGGCCTCAAATCGAGGGTTAGGCCTTTTATCAGAGATAGGCCAATCTCAATTGATCCATTTAATCAACTGATTATTTAACTCAATTCAAAAGTACTATATTAATCTCAAAGGCAAATAAAAAGTTGTCGTAACTCATATTACAGAAAGTTTTCTGCAACTTTTTGTAGATGCTGATGACTGGATCTCCTGTAGCAGTTTTTCTTACAGCGTAGCCTCTGACTGAAGACATCAGGGTTAAGAAACAAGTAACAAAGTACAAATACTTTGCTATCTATACTTTACTGGATTCATAATTTTTTGGACAACGTTTTACTTCTACTTCTTAATTTTTTTCTAATCCTTCTTCATCTACTTTGTAATCCTTACATTTTACATTATAAAAATAAACTCATTCATTTTGTTTCATTTGAGCTAATTTTAGTTATGGCGTGCTGGTATTAAAATGAATAAATAAATAAAATCCATCAAGAAAATTTGTTTTATCCATTTCTTTGTGGCACCACCTTGTTGTTCACTATATACCAAAATAAATAGTTTTTCAAGATAATGCAAAGTTAAATTTGACACTGTAACCATTAGTTATAGAACTAAGAAAATTAAATCTAAGGAAATTATCATCTATAAATGTGGAAAAAAATGTCCTTAAATAAGGTAGTGCAGTAAAGCATCTGTCCTTAACATTTTTCCCCACAAAAAAATCAATCAGACAGCTGCAGCTGATTCAGAACGCTGCTGCTCGAGTCCTCACTAAGACCAAGAGACTGGATCACATCACTCCAGTTCTGAAGTCCTTACACTGGCTTTCTGTGTCTCAAAGAATTGATTTCAAAGTACTTTTGCTAGTTTATAAATCACTAAACGGTTTAGGGTCAAAATACATTTCTGACCTGCTAGTACACTATGACCCCCCAGGTCTCTAAGGTCATCTGGGATAAGTCTACTTTCTGTTCCTAGGGTCAGAACTAAACAGGGGGAAGCAGCTTTCAGTTACTATGGTCCTAACATCTGGAATAAACTCCCAGAAACCTGCAGGTCCGCTGCTACTCTCAGTTCTTTTAAATCAATGCTGAAGACCTTTCTTTTTGATGTTGCCTTTCTCTAAATGGCGTTCATTTCTTTACTGTTTAATCTTTTATACTGCACTGTAATTTGTATTCTTGTGTTTTATTCTGTTTTTATTTTTAACTGTTTCTTCTGTGTTTTATTTATTTTTTTAACTGATTTTATGTAAAGCATTTTGATTTGCCCTGTTGCTGAAATGTGCTATACAAATAAAGCTGCCTTGCCTTGCCATCACTTTTATACTTTAAATGCTACTTTTACACTTTTACTTGAGTAAAAACTTAACTTCTACAAAAGTATATTTGAACCGGAGGATTTCTACTTCTACTTGAGTAATAAACATGAATACTTTTGATACCTCTGGAAGACTTTGAGTTGTTGTACTACAGTCTGATAAAAACACCAACCCACAATGTTCTTCATTTAATGGAGAATCTATGTTTTTAAAACAATCTTCAGATGTTTTTAAGGACTTACTGGAACACAGCCTCTTATTATTATTGGCTTGTTGAGTATTCTCCTCTGACGCTGCCAGCCCAGCAGATGATGGCAGATCACACTCTCCACAACAAACTTATAGAAGATAAGCAGCATCTTGCTGTAAAGGCTGAAGAATCTAAGCTTCCCCATCACAGTCTGCTCTTTTCCCTTCTTGTAGTTGCTTTTCTAGTCCTGTTTGTTGGTTCATATTCTGGATCAGCTAATTGTTTCCGCACCATGCTGAGTAAATCATTGTTTTATTGACTGCTTATGTATTATTGAAATAAATTTTGATTTGGTAAAATAGTAGTCCATAACTCGTAGTATATATTGTTGTAATTGTTTGATTAAAAATGGAAAAATGCAGGTTCAAAAGAAGCTTATTTTGATGCAATAAGAAACTTTAATACAAAAATATGAAATAAAAATACAGAACTAACAAACTACAATCAGAAACCAGAATAGTAATAAGACAACAGTTTGAAATCAACAGGAGGAACAGAAAACCATGAAAAAGGAGTGTAAAAATTATACACCTTATCCAGAAACAAACCTGCCTGGTACCCCTGAACAATGCTAAAGTTATTTTATTTTGGTCGACCTTTTAAAGACATCTACACAGATTTGGTGCTGTGTTCGATTTTTCTTTTGACATAGTAAGTTTCAAATTTTTTCTATTAAACAGATTGCATTCCTGCAAGTGGCCCACATAGCAGAGTTTGAGAAACTCAGGTTCAACATACAATGGTTCTGTTAACATACATGTAAGATGAGGATAATGTTTAACATTCTTTGTGTTTATTTCAACACTCTTCAAACAGAAGATCATAACTGAGTTTAATGATCCAAGAGCTGCTGACATCATACAGTACATTTTTCAAAAGGTTTGATGTGGTAGGTGCAGTGAACATAACACGGTGCGTTTTGGTTGGATCACAGCTGTGTCTTTAATGGCATTGTTATGATCTCAGAGAACGCCTGCAGATTCTCAGGGCTGTGATCAAATTATATTGCCATGGTTTTGGTTTTAGGCTGGGCTTCAGACCTGCCACAAGCCTGACTGCTGTCTTGAAAGTCGGTTCAAATGTATTGTAGAAACAAAGCACCTGGTCTCCACACTTTGCCGCAATCTTTCTGGTTTACCCAGTTATACAAAAATAAAAGGATTTTCCCTGCAGCAGCACTTTACTTTTACAGTCACTTTTATCACAGCTTATAATTTTTCTGTGTAAAACTTTGATGGCCTTATAGTCCCTTAAGAGCTATCACCATTTCCCTGCGTTATACTGCGCTACTTTCCACCAAATATTAAAGAGGCAGATTAACACTTTGTCACACCTAATGGAAAGAAGAACCGCAACAAAGAGAAAGTTAACCCCATGATATAAGAGGAATGCGACTGTAACTACGGTAAGTACCATTTAACCCTATAATGCCAAATGTATCATATTTGATACATACGGTTTCTGAAATGTTTTGCGTCTGACACCTTTTGCATAATTTAATGGTAAAAACTTTGCTCAAAATCCTATTGTACACAATCAGATATACCTGATAACAGAGGGCAGAAGACTACACAAAAAATAATCTTGACTTATCACATAGTAATACATTATTAATATCAAAAATGTATTTTGTTTTTTTCTTTTTACATATTTTGTTAAAAGAGCAAATAAGGAATTCAAACCAAAAAAAAGTTAATTTTTTTTTTTTTTTTTTTTTTTTTTGATCAGGCTTTAAAGGGTTAAAGATTTTAGGCCGTAGCATTTGGGAGGATCAGGTAGTTGTAACACATGTTTTTGTTTTACAGGTAAAGCTCAAAAAATTCAACTTTTTTATCTTTTACTGATTTCCAAAAGTGGAATTCACATAGGCTACTACAGATTCATTACAACTGAAAAACCTCAAACCCCAGTTCTTGCTAATTTTTCATGAAAACCCCCAATTTTCCATGTCAGACAATTTGAATTTCCTGAGAATTCAAATAGTCATTTTTCAAAAATGACTGCCACCTTATCATGGTGGAGGGGTTTGAGTCTCCCACTGACCTTAGGAACTATGGGGTCTGGGGGTTTTATGCCCCTAGTAGTGTCACTCAAGGCAGACAGGTCCTAGCTGAGGGACCAGACAAAGAGCAGCCTAAATACCTCTTATGATGAGTAAGACAAATGGACCTAGTGTTCTCTCGCCTGGACATGGGTCATCTGGGCCCCAATCTGGAGCCAGGCCTTGAGGTGGGACACATTGGCAAGTGCCTGGTGGCCAGGCTTTTACTCATGGAGCCTGGCAGGGCAAAACCCAAAGAGGAAACAAGAGTCCCCCTTCCAATGGGCTCACCACCTGTAGGAGGGGCCAAAGGGGTCAGGTGCAATGTGTGATAGAATGAGGGCGGAGACCTTGGCCTTCTGATCATCGGCTGAAGCTGACTCTTGGGACATGGAATATCACCTCTCTGGTGGGGAAGGAGCCTGAGTTAGTGCACAAGATTGAAAGGAATATATATATATATATATATATATATATATATATATATATATATATATATATATATATATATATATACCGGTATATACACACACAATTTTATGCCTTATTCACAAGTTATGATTTTAGGTATTCATACCTAAACTGTTTGCACTTGGCACCAAATGCAGTGGATTTTATGTTAACTCATCATTTTGACTCTTATTTCTATATTTGCTGATGATATTACAAACTGAAAATTTACTTTAATTTAGGTTTTCTAACAGTGGGATCTTACAAATCTGTAACATTTAAAAAATTTAATATATTTAAAAAGGCTAAATTAAATCAGATTAAAGCCTTTTCATGGGTTAGAACAGCTTAGTCAAAGTCCACACTGAAAAAACTATATAGAAATAAGTAAAAATTTCTTAAATTAAGTGTATTTACCCTTAATTTGACTATGTAAATTAGATGATTTGCCAACGGAATCAGTGTTTTTACTCTTTAAATAAGATAATTAGACAAAATGCACTTGAAATAAGACAATGCAGTTTTGTTTTTTTATTTTAAATGTAAATTGTCTTGTTCCATTGGCAAAATGTCTCTTTTACCTCCTCAATCCAAGAACAAATACACTTATTTTAAGAAAAAATGACTTATCTAGAGTTTGATTTTTTCCAATGCAGTCCTACATTTGACTAAGAATCAGTGTTCAAATATGAAAATCTGTTGTCAACAAATGCTCTAAATTTAGTCTGAGTGGCCTTACACAAACTTTGCCAGAAAACCCACTAAATAGTTTGGTTTCTAGATTCGTAAAACTTATACATGCCTCAAATTCCTACTGCTGTAAATGTAGCAAAAGGCTTTTATACACTGCAGCAATATGACAAAGTTCAAGCATGAATACCTCCATAAGGTACTGAATGTTTTTTTTTTGCTCTGGCCAAGGATTGTTTTCATGTTTGTGTATGTTTTATGCAGAACACAGTTGGCAAAAAGCCTCGATGTCTGCTTCTAATGTTTCACTGGTGTACATTAAAGTTAATTGAAGTGCAGCAGCTGTCAAAATAATTCCCTGCGGATGTTTGCAACTTGGCAGCAAAGGATGACACCCAGCCACAAACTCCTTACAGGGCCGTTTTTGTTTTTTTTCCCTCGTTCGCCAAATTACAGTTGTGTCAGTTAAATGCCAGCAGAGAAACTAAGTCTGAGACAAATGGAGAAAGCATTAAGAGGAAAGGGAGATGGATTCAATCAAACTAGATGGTGAAAAAAATCTCAAGAGGCTGGGAATCATGAAAACTAATGAAAATAATGAAAATAGCAGAAATTAATATCTGAATGTTCTAAACCCAAATGTAACACTTATACACGCAGGAAGTAAGTGTTCATCACTTCCAAAGAGACTGTGTGAAACGAGCTCTAAGGAATATTTGGTTTGACTGTAAGTGATCCCCGTTCAAATCCAGCCAGTCAAACTGCTGCAGCTTCTCCAGGCTTTGCTTGGTGTGGAGCGCATCCATGCTGCAGGAACCCACTGGACTTCTGCCGCATCTATCTTCTCGATGTCTGCTTTCAGCTCTCTGAATGCAACAGCAATATCTCCATTGATAATTACATTATCAAACAGGTCACCATACTGACTGAGCAACAGTTCAGCTAGGTCAATCATCTCCTCAAAATCCTCCTCCTGTGAACCCAGAAAAAAGAAAAAAAATGTTTGCATCTAAGAGAAATTTCCTTAAAGTTAGATAATGCAGTATTATTGCTTATTATACATAAACGTAGTTTATTAAAAAGCACTGATTAGCAGAAACATCATTATTGGAAATTACTTAAATAATTTTATCTGGCTTTTTTGATGTATCATTTCAGTTTAATTTGGGCAAACTCTTCTTTACAACATGACTTCTTTGCTTGCATAACCCAGATTGGATCAGGCTGCTGCTGTTTTACAGATGACCACAGGTTTCAAAGTTTACTCAATGCACAACAAAAAACGCCTTCTAAAAAATAAGAAAAAAATATAGTGTTTTAAGTGAATAATTGCTTATTTTGTGCAAAATAATCTGCCAGTGCAGCAAGCAAATGAGACTTCTGACTTCTGATGAGATTTCTTAAAACAAGAACATAATATCCAAGTAGTAAGCATCCAAAAAAACTTAAATCAAGTAGAAAAATCTATTTTTTATTTTACTTAAGATTTTTTCTCTTATTTTAAGCAATTTATTCTCATTTATTAGTCATTATTGCTTAGAATTGAATGTCCTCTAACCAAGTATTGCTCAAAACAAGCATACAACAGGCTTAAAAACAAGGCAAATGTACTTGACACCAGTTCATTTAAAGGCTTAAAACTTGTCTGTTTTTCTTAGCTAGAATTAGTTTCATTATTTAGGTGTAGTGAATGTATGGGAAAAATACACTTGACAAAAACTTCAAAACGTTTTTTTTTATATTAATATTTTAATAAAAAATCACACAAAACTCATAGAACATGATGTAATAACGTAAAATCAAGGGCCAAATGTAAAAAAAAAAAAAAATGGCGTTACCCTTTAAGGCAGAGCTTCTATTATAATAAGCATATGTATGATGTACAGTATTTATGATGTATTCTAAACAGCGAATGGTCCACTGGTGAGGTTCAGAATCTCAAAGCTAAATCATGAATGACAATCTCAATAACCCTATCAATTTGAATGCAATCAGATTTGATTAGGTGGAATATCTTAATGAGATGGGGTCAGTTCTTAAAACAGGTTAATATGGATTGTCTTATTGTCTTGAAACAAGTATGGTAAAAATGTACTCACAGCCTAAATGTTAAAGCGACTCAGTCCGCAATGTGTGCTATTTCAAGAAAAAAGCTGCTCATAATTAATTGAATTATCTAGTTAGGATGAAAAAGATGAATTTTCTTAAAACAAGTCAAATAATCTTAACAATATTAATTCTTACTAAGAAAATACATTGAAAAACAAGTGTAATAAGACCAAAATGCTGAATCCAAGTTTATTACACTTGTATAGATTTTCCTTTTTTGCAGTGTGACTGCAAGGTAGCTGGTGTCGGTGGAACAAGCCGTTCACTATTTCTTGATTTGTGCCAATATGCTCTGTTTAGGTTGCCAAATCTTTATTTTGTATATCTCTGTATTTGAAGACACAAAGCCTCCTCCTGATAACCCCTCCACACACGTTTGTCCCAAACTTAAATCTAAGGGTTTAGCCGGGATAACACTTCCCTTTTTTGGTCTTTTCAAAATCATTGCATGTTCCATCCATAGGTGAATGCTAGAAATTCTTCTTCTTTAAAGACTGGACACTTTCTTAAATGTTGGGTTTAATTTAGAGCCGCAACTAATGATTATTTTGCAAATCGATTAATCTGTTGATTATTTTTTCGATTAATTGATTAACATTCGTATCGCAAAAGGTTCCTTAAAGAAGATTTTTTACGAAATTGAACCAGGGTAAACTAAACCACTTGAGGATTTCTGGATAGAGCATACTGACAGACAGAAAAGTTTTTTTTATTTTTATCCTTAATGCAAAATGTGTATATATTTTTTTTACAATTCTGATATAATTACGGTTCTAAGTGGGTCAGTCTATCAGCTAAAGGCATGTTTTAGGGTTTCTATACACCATTTAACGATTAATCAATGGCTAAATTAGATGGCAATTATTGCAATATTCAATTAATCATGATTAATCCAGTTAATTGTTTCAGCTCTCATTTAATTGGTAATGAATTTCAATCTTCGTCTTGTGTTAAAACACACCTGAATAACCCACATCAGCCACCCACTAAAACAACTGCTTTTACAGAGGTGCTCACAGTTGCTTATGATCAACTAGTCAGGTGTATTTTATTAGCATACTGCAAAAAGTGATCTAAAAATACATGTCTAAAAATAAGTAAATGGTTTAGAATAAGTTTAATTGCCTTTAATTTGAACAGATAAATAAGATGATCTGCCAATGGAATGATAATATTTTCTCCCTTTAAACAAAAAACAATGTTATGCGCAATGTTATGTACTGTTATATATATATATATACACATATATATATACACATACATATACACATATAATTTTTGTAAATGAAAAATTTTTTTCATTTACCTTTACCTTTTTGAGTTTTCTTTTTTTTCACATTTAACATTTGGGGATTTCCCCTTGGGGAGTAGTGTGCTGCCATTGTGTGGCGCCCGGGGAGCAGTGTGGAGTTAAGGGTCTTTGCTCAGGGAGCCAAAGTGGAAGCCTTCGGAGTGGAGCTTGAACTCAGAACCTCTGGATTCCAAGTGCAATGCCCTAACCACAAGGCCGCCACTCCCCCGTTTTGTGTTATTTGAATAACTTGTGTGAATTTATAATTTCCTTTAATATAAACTTTCAAGCACAACTGTATTTTAGAACAAACTGCAAAATTGAAAAATAGAAGGATAAAGAACCATGTAGCAGAAATTGCACCGGCAGACCACATAGTTACATGCTCAGAGTAAAGGATAAGAAATGTTTTTAAGCCAGATGTGGTTCCAGTTGAAAGCAGACTCTTTGGATTGGCCTGAACTCTTTGAAGGTTTTGATTTTTGGAAAAGAACCAAAGCCATGCAGCATCACACATGTTTAACTTCACTTTCTTAATAAGGCCCACAAGGACAAACAGGGTCCATCAGTAAATGTGAGGTCATAAAGCAGTCAGAAAAACCCCACATTTATTTTCCTTTATAAATGCATGCATCCCCTAAAAAGAGTGGGCTTGTGTTTCAAAACAGAGCAAAACAACAAAATAGGTTTTAATTAACTGAACCATAATGTGTTTCGGTTATTGCCTTAAACCGAAACACGCTTATAGAGTGCAAACCTTTATTTAGGCAAACAGCCAAGTACCAAGGAAACCACCCACATAGTAACCCTAACCTCTGCTCTTTCTTAAATGTCTCTAAGGAGAAAATTACTGGGTTAAAACAGTATGTGTTTCTGATTTTTAAGGCCACACTGCCCTTACTTCACAAGCTGTGAAGCAAGCACCTGACTTCCTACATGCTGAGTGGATATTTTTGTTCCAAAGGGACAAGGAAGCTGGACTGAGTTTTTGGAAAGTTAATCAAGCTAAATACAGAGTAAGCCTGAAAGAGAACTTCTTAGAGGCTGCAAAAGACTTGAGACTTGGGCAGGAGAATGGAAGCTATTCTTAAATTGCCCCACTGTGGTGACCAAACTGGTTAATAAATGCTTCTGTCTGAATGGGCAGCAACACCTGTTAGCAAAACTGTTAAAGTCTGCTCAATTTTCTAGACTGTATATCTTGATATACTGTATATACCTTGATATACTGTATATATATTGTTTATTCTTAATGCACCTTTTTCCCCCTTGTTTGCACCTTCTTTAATTACTATGCCAAATATGTGACCAGTGAATTTCTTCGCTGTGAGATCAATAAAGCTCATCTAATCTAATCTAATCTAATCTACTGTTAATGTAGCAAGAACTGTCTACACTGTTAGAGACAGAAAAAGTTAAAGAGACATAAAATATGAGATTGCACTAGTGCAATAATATTGCACTGTCAGAAGAAATGGCTCACTAACAGTGCTAGCAGTTGGTATCTCTTTTGAAGCCATATTCATGTTTTTTTTTTTTCAGCTAGGGTTAGGTATTATGTTCAGAAGCTTTGGAAAAAATATTATTTCATATCAAGGATGCCAAAACCAATTTAGGGTCAGTCTACACTCATTGCACTAAAACATTTGAGAAATGAACAAATAAAATATCTGTATATGCTAAATTAATTAGTGAAGAATCTTTTGAAGCCCTTGCTAATAAATTTACATTCATATGTATACATCTGTGTTGCCTAAACTGGTTAAGGCTTTGCAGTGGTTCTTTAGTTCTAATTTTTCAAAAGACCAATTGATGATGGCAGTCTCATAACTTTTTCTTTCTTCATAAAGCTCAAAATATATTTCTTAAAAGACCATTAGTTTTGTGTTTAATAGTTAATATACTAAAAACTGATATATAATTAGTTAAGACATTCCAAATGAGAATATGCTCATCTAGTAGGGGTGGCCAAATAAATAGAGCACCACCTTGTCAACAAAAATACCCAGAATTTCAGATATAGGTTCTCTATGGGTGTGGCCACATCCGCCTTAACCCCTCAGTCACTATATAGAGCAGGGACTGTATAGTGAACTCAGTTAACTGACCGTTCAGTTGACGGCTTCTTTTCCCTCCCCGTTTGTCACGTGATTCCAGCTCCCCATTTGGGGCCTGCGCCATGTTTGTTCTCTCTTGCCCCAAAACAAATCCCATTATGCTTTGTGAGGAAAACTCTTCCAAAGTGTTTTATATATATATATATATATATATATATATATATATATATATATATATATATATATATACATATATACGCTTCTCTACCGATCATCATTGAACGCTGCTTTCAAATCCCCTATTTTTTTATCCAATAGATATTCAGACACTGATATAAAATGGCGTAACCCCATAAAAAGTTACTGACCTGGATAAACCTAATACAGTGCTTCATATAGGGGTTAGGGCTCATGTTCAGACACAGCCTATAAATCAATAAACTAATCTTAAAAGCTTACGCTGAAAATATGCTTATTTACTTACTGTAAACATCCTGACTTGTTTACTGTCCTCCTCGCAGACAAATTTAGCTCTCCGCCTGGTGAGGCGAAGCTCCTCAATCCTTGGAGGCTTCACAAACACAATGTATGGTTTGTATTCAGAGGTGTAAACAAGTTTTATCTTCTGCAGTGAAAAGAAAAGAGGAAATGGGCAAGATGAAGATTAAAAAGTTTGGTTCAGTCAGGAACCTTTTCACGTCAAGTGCATCCATATGCATTGCTCATGCAAAATTATGCATGTGCTGCAATAAAACCACCAGTAACTCTTTTCTGTAGCTAAATTACAATATACCAGGAAAATAAAGAATAATATATATTTTTTATGCAGAGTGTATAATGATATTTCCCACAATGCATTGCAAAACAGTTACTGCTCCTTGAATTAACTGATATGCTGTCAGGCCCAACAGATTTAATGCTTAACTGTACCTGCTAGTTTTGCATATCTAAGGACAAAAAAATGTGCAAGCTTCTCTTTGCAAAGTATGCCAACTCAGGCTGAATGGATTTTAAATATTTATGTTGTGTCAAAGATTCTTAGTTAAATTTAGGTCTGGACTTTGACTGGGCCATTGTGACACATGGATATGCTGTGTTATAAAATTATGGCTCTCTAACTGTGGTTTAAGTACTGCTGGTGATACTTTGGCTGCATTTATTGGTTATTATATTGAGTTTCAGACATCTTGATTCAGGTTGGAAGACAATAGAATATGAAGATGGACATCGTTTGTGACATAAAACTCTGTAACTATTTGATAAAATTAATGATATTGTATTTCTTTGGGTTTTGTACTTTATACACTGTGTCAACAAGTTCATGATGTAGAATATAAAGAAATGTTTGCATGAAAGACTGAATGAGATACTACATGCTAAAAGAATAAGAAAATAAATTTAGTGTTTTGTTTGTCTTGTTTTGCCTCAATATTTCTCACTCCATAAACACAGGAAGCCATATTAAATTTTTAGATCAGGGCTGGTAACAAACCTGCAGCTTTCTTATTCCAAAGGACCATTTTCAGTTTTTTCAACAAACTTCTTTTACATTGAAATTAAAAGTGAAAAGAAAAATGAAACAAATTTCTAAACCAATTAGAAGATGATATGGAGATGTTTTTTTGCTTTTTATAATATATTTGGACAAAGTGAACTTTACCTGCAGCAATATTATTTGAGTATGTGAAAGATGTTTGCATAGGTAGCACTTAACACGTTTTAGATCTCAGTGAAACCATTTTCTGCTGTATGTTTAGTCACTGTTTTGCCAGATTTACAACCACCTTCCAATCAGTTCCAACCAGCTTCCCAATCTATGTTGAGGAAATACATTCCCACAGCATAATGCTGCTATCTCAATGTTTGACAAGGAAAATGATGTGACCAGGGTTCTAGTTTTTCCCCAAAAGAACATTTTTGATGCTGACCAGAAATATCACTTTTGGTCAGTTGTGAGCAAAGTAGCTTTTATTTTTCTGGCCCCTGAATGGCTTGTATTACACTATAAATGCAGAATTTAACTGTTCTGGCCTGATGCAATAATTGTTTTTTTATTGTGCTGTTGGTTCATTAATGTTCTTTAACAAACCTGATTGTGATGTTATAAAATGAGAAATAGTCTAAGTGGTGTGAATGCTTTGCAATGCATTGTAACTGATTATTAAAAAAAACTGTGAATATGAACAAAAAAAATCATTTTGTAGATGTTATGCTTACACTTGGGTGCACATCCAGGAGGCACACTTTTCCCTCAGCCATCACTCTCTGGACAGAGTCCAGATTTGACCCATAGTAGTTACCTCTGTAATGTCCATACTCCACAAACCTTACAGGTACAGTGAGGGAAGGAGAAAGCAGGGAAAGTTGGCTTTGAATGGATGAATAATAGATAATTAAACAAACAGATTTAAAATAGAACAATTTATTCCACACCTGTGATTAAGAATGAGCTCTTCAAACGCCTGAACTGTAACAAAATGATAATCCACCCCTTCTCTCTCTTTACTCTTCTTCTCCCGTGTTGTGTCTGAAAAAATGAAACGCCTCCTCATGTTTGCAAAAAGAAGAAATGTTCTAGTGTGCTGCTATAAAATTCAAAAGTAATGAAACCTCAAGATGTGCAACTTACACGGCACACTGACGCCATAGCGGTCCGGGTCAGAAATCACCAGCCTCCTCTTCAGTTCGCTCACGCCAACTCCGCTGGGCCCTCGAGGCACGGATCAAAACACAGCACCCAGAATGTGGGTTTTAATTCTGAATATTACAGTGTACTGATGCTTTTCATGAGACGAGCCCAACAGCAAATGACACATCTGTCTTTGTCATCAGAGAATTAGAAACTAAATGAAAATCAGACAGACAAAGCTCTGATTTCATTCTAACAATGCTGCTCAAACAGCCTACTGTCTGTTCAAGGCCTAATGCTCCTACACTCTCTGGAAAAACCATATAATTCTCTCTAAATGTACCATCTGTAAACCCATGCAGTATCAGTGTCACAATAATGTAGGAGCGCACACATTTGTCCACATGTTCGTTCAGTATTGTAGCAGCTGGGACTGATGCAGAGCCAGATTGCATCAGTCTCTAATGGGGAGCAGCCTTAAAGCAGGATTCCTGTCATACCTGCCTTTTCCATCACTGGACTGCATGAGTTTGATACATGACCAAATATCTAGTTTATGGACTTGCTACCCTTTCAGTGCTGATGTGCTCCACAGCTGCTCTGAAAATCTGCAGAGGAGTATCATCAGGCTCACTGGATGATTTCTTTCCGTTCTTAATTTCTTTTCAAGGGTTACATGATATGTGGGGCATTACTTGCATCGGCTGTCCGAGGGTAAATGGGTCTTTAGTTTAGAATGAAATGTGCAAGCAATGCAAACAATAAGGGCTTTCAATGTGGGTAGAACTCGTCCATCTGGTTCTGGATTAATAATCCTATAGCTTTAGATTTTTCCTGTCTAAAACGTTTATTACCAGTGACCTATATTTTCCTACTGATGACCTAATGATGTCTACTGTCAATGAGGATCCTTTGCAGCCGGCAGTAAAAACAGAATCAGAAGTCGAGGTAGGCACCAGCTCAATTAAAGGAGTTTATATCCAAATCCAAGCTGTTTTAAGCACGCCAATATGATGATAAACCACCTGGCTGACATCATGAGGGATCATATTCACAAGCATTTGTCTCTTTCCTCCCATTCAGCTATCTTTTATCTCTTCTCTACATGACCCTGCTTTTGCATCTCTTCGGTTCTTTGTCTTTTTTTTTTAACCTCCCTGTATGCCTTTTTTTTATCACTTCCCCACATTTCTTCCCTCTTCCATTCCCCTCAGTCCTTCTATGACCTTCAGTTGTATCCTATTATAACATTAAAAAGACCTCTGGCGGGGCTCAGTCTGGAATTCCCAGTGGGGAGATAGAGCTCAAAAATACACAGAGCAGACCTGCAGGATTGGCAGAGAAGTGAATGTGGGGTTGGACCACTGCATTAGTTGAGTGAAGACGATATATTTTAACTGGAAGATTTCTGACACTGTTTATGTGGTTATGATGGGAAAGGATTATTTTTTCAAATCAAAAGTGGGGACATAAATCTTCATCAAGACATAACATTTTCTTTTGATCAACCACAGATTCTGTATTTTTCTATTCTTTGTTTAAATAAATAGGATGAAGGTGTTTTGTGTTCTCACGTTGCCATAAAAGCAGTGGATTGATATAAGGCAGAATTCAATTGAGCACAGCACCATGTATTTTTTTTACACATAACTCTACAATTGCTACATTTTTGCTTTGAGTTTCACTAGATTAATTTATCGGAACACTTGTGCACATCAGGTAAAAAAATCCAGACTTTGAATTTAGATGCATTTTAAATTTTTTTTTACATACCAACCAGCACAATGAGTCTGTGTCTGTCATTTGGCTCCTTATGGTAGGGCACCACCTCTATATAAGTAGGAGGACAGATGGCACCGTGTACCTCAGAGTTCCACCTCCGTAACTGAGTAGTTTTCCTGGATCTGCTGCTTTTTCGTCCGAGTCGGAAACTCCTCCTTAGACCAGCTGGGTCGACAAAACAGACAATAATCATTTAACAATGAAGTGTTTGAAACTTTTTTTTTTTTAATCTAAAAATTGCTATACCACTATAAGTCATGCATTTTTTTTTTTTTTGACAAAACCACAATTCTTATTTGTATTTGTCTGATGTTTGAATAAGTAGACCATTCCATATGGGTTAAACATTCACTTGTAGTTGAGTTATCTTACGGAGATAAAAGGAAAAACTATTGAAGAATAAAGGTTATTTTGTAGGTTTTAGAGCACCCCAACCAGGGACGGAAGTTGAGGATTAACAATAGCTATAAACTCTGCGTGCACCACATCAGTTGCCATGTTGCTGCACTATATATAAAATGGATGTTGATTAAAAATATAAAACATATAACATGCAAAAAAATTATTTATTCATTTCATAGCTTTTATCAGAAGCTCTGAGCAAAATAACAGTTGTTCTCCATATATATTTTAAACAATTACCTTATCTTTTATTTTTATAGTGTAGTTTATTGTGTATTTTACTTGTTGCTGGATTTCTGGATTAGAAAATCAACTGGATAGTTCTCTGCAGGTGAACTTCCTGTCATGTCAGGGGCTTCAAACCAGCACAAAGTAAATTTACTATGAATACAAAGCCCATAAAAACGGTGTTATGGTTACAGTTTTAAGCATTATATTTCAATTTCTCAAATGTCTACCATAATAAACCACAGGCGAACTACTAGATGCATTTAAACTGAGAATAACAATGAAATAAGGCAATATGATGCACTGTTGCAAAATCTCTGTTAAAGAAAAGATGCTAATGGTTAAAAGTCAATGGAAGTTTCCATATGATGTAAATACACAATTTGGATAATTACTATTTTAGCTTAGATTTAATTAGATGCTGATGCATTGTAGAATAACATATTTCGTCTTATTTTTCGGTTTAGTTTTAAAGCTTGTACAACAGGAGCATTTTTTTCACATTGACTATTCAAAAGGACTAATAAAAATGACAGGAAAAAAAATCATTGCAACAGCAGAAAACAATTTTAACTGGTCTGCTTCTGAAAAGAACAATGTAAACATCTCCTAATTATGGAAGGGACTCTATAACAACAGGGTCAGTTGTGAGGGCAGGACACCACAGCAGAACTGGATGTGCATTAGGAGGAGGGGGGACGAATGAGAACGATAGATGCTTTGAAATAAATCCCTAAGTTTCACCAAAAGAAGCTAAAGTTGGTAGACTTTTTTTAAGATCAATTGCTTAATGGTTTCAAAACTTTTAATTTTTAACTATTATTAGCAGATGAGTTGATAAAATAAAAATAGCAACAAAGTTGTCAAGTTTACTTGTAGCCTTGGTCCTACAAGGGAAACAATCAGGACAAACAACAAAATAATTGCACACGCTTATATAAAAAAAAAGCCATCTAGTGGAGTAGTTCATCAAATATCTTTGATGCTTGGAAATAATCCACAAATGCATGGAGAGGATATGCAAACACAGTGCAGAAAAGCTCCTTGTCAGGACGAAAAAACAAAGCACCTTCTTGGTATGATGATACAGAACAGAGCTAAAAATGACCTGGGGTTTCATGCAACCCTCTTTAGGCAGGGATACATAAAAAACTGACCTCAACATAAAAGCCCATTGAACTGAAACGATTAAACATCTGACAGAACCAATGTTGTTTCATGTATATAGAGTATCATCTGTATTCCCACACAATTATTTGCATTTCAATAGTAACTAATCTTTATATGACTGGTTGCACTGTAGCATCACAGCACTGTAGCATCACAGTAAGTACAACTTTCAGGTTATTTAGTGCAAAAAAGAATGAAGTGTGTTTTTTTGTTTCATAAAAGGTATTAGATTTTATTTGATCTACATTTTGTGTATGAACAACCTTTTCTATTTATCACAGCCTGTTCAACAGTTTAGTTTTGCTGAAATTTCACAGATTTTAAAACAATATTATAGTTATTTCCTTTGAATCATCACATTACTTTAAGGCTTGCTCATTTCTGGCTCTGTAACAATAATTCTTTTAACATTTTGATTCTGTTTGGGTGCCAGTTAAGAAATTGAAAAATTATACAGCTCAATTCTAACGATGAGGACTGACTGAATGGCAGACTGTAAGGGCCATCTATTTCTGAAACCATCAACCCTGAGATCAAAGCTCTGGTGTTTAGCAAAACATGAGCCATGTCTCAGAGAAGACACATCTCAGCCTGTCACGCTTTGCTGGTGTTCTGTCTGACATCCAGCTTCTATAACGCGGCCGTGGTTTGGCTCCTCTGGCCAGGTTCGTTCTCCCTCATGATGTTAACCACCATTATGTCTCAACGCCAAGTCTCCTTTCACTAAATTTAACTCCATGCCATGTACGGAGAATAAGTATTCTCTGCTAAAATGGCCGGATTTGAGTTTTATTCTCCGTCACAAAGTGCTTAAAGACTTAAACAGACACCGGTTAGAGGAGCTAAGTGACTGTAAATGATGCTGTCTTATATATTATTGAGACAATTCCTGTAACTAAACACAAATAATACCACGCTCTTTAATACTGTACATATGGGTTGTGTCCTTGTGCTGCTCTTAAAAAATGTAGTCGTAAGAAAAAAATAAGAATGCTCTATAACTTGTAAATTAAAGCTATATTGATGTAAAAATGCACAATTTTATCATACAAGTGTGTGATTTTGTTATTTTATTTATGTTAATTCATTATGCATGCAAAAAAATGCAAAGAAGAAATTGCTGTTAAATGTTTATTTTAGATGCCCTGGCGCCTCTGAGCAAGTACTGTACTTAGTTCATTATGCCAATGGATCCATTCCAATAAGACCTTACCTTCTTAGCTTGTCACCACCCTTTTTAATCATTGCTTAAAGGCAACTACCTGAGCAACAAGGCCCAAGAAGAAAATGTATCATTGGGTTTATTGATGAACAGGCATAAACCTCTAAGACATAGAAAAAAAATATAGTTTTTTTTACGTCTAAAGACCTTAAAGCACCTCAGCCCCAAATTTAGAACTGTAATGGCAGCATCATGCTGGGGACGCTTATTAAAGCAACGTTTTGGGAACTATTTACACTGCAAAAACTGGAAATCTAAATAAGTAATTTTTGCTTAAATTAAGTGCATTTTTCTTGAATTTAGGAGGTAGTTGAGACACTTTGCCAATGGAACACGACAATTTACACTTAAAATAAGAAAAAAAACAACAACAAAGTCTTATTTCAAGTGCATATTATCTAGTTATCTTATTTTAGTGGTGAAATATTCATTCCATTGGCAAATCATCTTATTTACCTACTCAAATTAAGGGTAAATACACTTAATTTAAGAATTTCTAAAACCTATTTCTAGATGTTTTTTGCAGTGCATTAAAGTTGACCCTGAAATGTCATAGCTACAAAATTTTCATCAAAATGTCATCTTTATATTTCCGTATCCTCTCTACACTTATTTGCTAAGTTGTAATATGTTTTACATCTTCATTGTAGAAGAAAAAATGTCCCCAGGTAGGGACAATTTGGCTTTGAGTGTCCATCGTCTCACCAATGTGAATTCCTGTTATAGCTCCATAGTCCACATCCTCTGTGACTGGAAACACTGAAGGAGAAAAAGGGAGATGTGTAAAAAAACAAAAAAAAGGGGGAAAAAAGTTATGTAGCAACAAAAATATAAAAAAAAAAATTAAAACATTAAATTTCGGCTATTTGTTTAAGGCTTGAGAAAGCTAGATTAGCCTTTGATACAGTAGATCATCTTTTAAAACGTGAATCAACATACAAATCTGTTTAAACTGGGGTTTTGCTGAAGGAAAACTTATAAAAAAGAAAGAAAAGTGAACTGCCAGTACCTTCACTGTCATCTGTGGAGCATGTAGAGCAAAACAGAGAAAGTCAGTATGAGTGGGAAGGGCAGCCAAGCCAACCTTCCATAGGACCATCTGCCAATCAGTTAAACCTCTCATCTACCAAAAGGTTTATTGGAATGTCTATAAATGACACTGATCACCTGCTGGCTTGGTTTGAAGATTCTTGAACAGGGCTCTGGGTCGTTGCAATGCAACTCTTCTGCAGAGGTTAAAAAGTTGGACAAAATAATTATAAATTGTCAGAATTTTTCCTTAACTAAGAGTGGGTGGCTGTATGGAAAGATCACCTTTCATGCAGCTGCTTCGAAGGGATGAGGCCTGCTCGACTGCTGCCGTCTCCAAGGCGACAGGCCTGCCACCAGGTATCATCGTCCGTGCTGACAACCTGGAGGACGTCACCTCTTTTAAAGGCCACTGCTGCCTCCTTACAGGGGATGGTGGGATCCTCCGTGGGATCATAGTCAAACAGAGCCCTAACAAACAACTGAGGAATAAGAAACACATTTTCTTATCTTAAAAAAAAAAAAAATATGAGAAGTGAAAAATCTATGTACTCTGGCTGCTTTTCCATCTCTACTTTTGAACATCTGCATCCTGACAACAAACACATCATTTCTTAGCTCCCCATGTGTCATTTTTGAAAAACGACCCCAATTACTGAAAATCATTTCAAAAATTTCGCCTGCTCTCAAAACAGTTTCCAGCTCCCTCATCTAATGTGAGGACAAAGTGGCTGTGATCCATAGTACTTTATGGATAAAAAAATAGCAAATTGCGAATGTTTCTGCAAAATATAACATTTCATTTATATATTTAATTTAAGTGAAGCCCAAACACTGACGGTGCCAAATGAATCTAATTCTATCGACATATGCTGAGGACCAGGCTATGGAAATGACAGCAGAACTGGATAATACAAAGCAACTTATTTTATTACATCCATTTTTGTTACATATAGGTGAAAATACTATTTTTGTTAGTTCTGTGTAACAGATCAACACAAACAACTTCACAATTGTGATATGGAAGAATATAAGTAGTTAGAATACATTTATAATCCGTCGCCTTGAATCAGTCCTTAAAGAACAATCTTATGCTGCCATTGTATGTCTTTATGATCTTTGCACATATTGATTTCACCCATTCCTCTTAGAAAAGAATCACATTTCATTTAAACTGGAAGGACAGAATCCATGAACATCAAATTTTAAGCTTTGTTAGAATATCTTTGTGAGACTGAGGTTTGAGTTGGGACAGGGTTGCTTTAATAAACATGTTGTAAAAAAAAACAAAAAAAACATCTAGAGCTTGGTTATTGTCCTGCTGGAAAGTCAACCTCCAACCTGGTCCAAAGTGTTTGAAGGATTTCTCTTAAAGTTTTTCTTCAATAAGTGTTCATGTGCCTTCCATCTGCTTATCAACGATGACTAGCTTCTTTTACATGCAAAGATTCAGTGTCAAATAATTACATGGTTTATGCTGTGAAACTCTGCAGTTCCTCCAAAGTTTCCATCATCCTTTATTCTGCTGCTATCATTCATTTGCAGCTTACCTGTCCCATTATTTAATATGGGTGGTTATATCTTGTAAGGCCTGCAGCTATATTCAGATGATGGATTGAACAGCTTGGAATATCGTTTTATTGTCTAAACCTTTAAATTAAACTTATTTTAAATTTTCTGTATGTCTATATGATGCTAAATATTTGTAACAAATATCTGAGGCCTTTTCAAAACAAATAAATGAATGCAAAGTTTTAATTAAGCACAGATAAAATCTACATATATACTTCTTTGTAATTCATTTTAGCTTATACGTGTAAACAAAAGTTTTCTGTTCTAACATAACGAACTAAAAATGTGAAGGGGGAGGGGGGTCTTCAATAATCCTCTCAAGTTTAATCTAAACCATAATCTCAGGTGAACAGTGAGGGTCATAGAGAAACCCTGACTGTTAAAATATTAAGACAATATCAAGTCGCAAAGCATTTAAAACTGACTTTAATATCTGCTTTACCTTTGTCAACCGTAATGACATGTCCTCGTTAGGAGATCCAGGAATGATTTTCAATTTAACAGCATCCTTAGAGCAAGCCTACAACAAACACAAAGAAACCTTTTTATGTTTATGGTGTAACACAAAGAATTATTGCTGATAATAAAACAATGAAGTTTTAAGTAGCTAAAGAGATCAATTAGGTATAGGGGATGAGTTCAAATATGATTGTGTAGTGGATGAGAACACCTTGTGGTTATAAATAATACACATATAAAATACACTATGTAAAAACTCTTACATTTATACCATACAAACATTTCTGACAAAAATGTGTTAATTTTTGAACAGACATGTGAGTCAGTTTTCTTTAGGTTAAAATTCATATTTCCAGTCTTGAAATCAAAGCCAAGTTCGTTCTCCAGATTGCCTTCGACTTATACTGTGAGGTACATATTGTAATTAAAGCTACAGTAATATTCTTACAACTTGCACTTGGGACAGATTGTATATCACTGAATCAGTTACAGAAACTCAGAATTTCATATTAACTTTTTGAATTTCTAAAATGCAGGGAAAATACATTTCTATTGACTAAAATTAGAGTTAGCCTAGTTGCTCAGCACAATAATGTACAAATCACACCAAATTGAGGACAAATCATATTGACAACATCTCCTTTAATTCTATTAAAATGCTTTTAAATCGTCCATAAAAGCTTATCTTAAGGGAATTTTAAGATAAGCTAAATAAAATGAGATAAATTAAAGGTCCTTCCTGATGGCGTTTACTTAGACTTAGACTTACACAGAGTGTATACAAAACGAAATTTAATTTTGTACAGCTCTCATTTCAATTTCTTTAAGTACAGCAGTGATCACATGTAAAAATTGTGGGAGAAAAATGTTTATTTAGTCCTGTTTGAGCCTATAAGTAATTTTTGCACAGGTTATTATTAGCAGACATTAAAACTACTCTATACCTTTGCCATCTCCGGGCAGTATTTACTTATGCATCCATCATCTTTGCACCTTCAGAGGGTTTCGCTACCGCTTCAGTGAACATCTTTTATATCATATTATGAAAGGCACTCATGTCCTATCCCTGTTTGCATCATTTTTTAATTTTTTTATTTCTCTTTTTCACAGTTGATTTTAAACTTTTCATATTTCTTTTTGCACACCTGCTGGGGAAACGTCGACTTACTCTGCTCCATAGCTACCCTGTTTACTCATGCCATGCATGCCCTATACTGTACCTACAGTCACTGTACGGTCAGGTGGCCTCTTGATACTAAATACTGGAAACACTTTACAAACAAATATAGTGAGTAATGTGCCTGACCAGAAGGGGAAGGATTTCTTTGGGCTTTCTGTGCTCCAGTGAAACTCCATTCACCTCCTTCAGCTCATCCCCTTCATGAATCAGACCTTCAAAGGGTTAAAAACACACATCATGCTGTTATTGTCATTTTTTAATGAAACAAACTCACTGAAATCAAAAATTTGGTCGCTTAATGCATTCACTTACCCATCATACATTTCCCAACTTTTTGAAAAGATTTTGAGAACATGCAAGACAAACTGTTGCAGTAATCTGAGCTTTCTGAATTTACATGGAACATAACAGCTTATTCTCCTTCATCTAATATCTGCATGATGCTGGTCATTTGGTTGAACTGAGGTTACTACACTATTCCCCACTTAAGAACAAAAAAGGATAAGAGCTCTTGAAAAAATACTTTTTGTTTGCAGAAGTCCCTGTTCGCTAAATTATAAATATTTTTGGCAGATTTATTCAAACTGATCACGAATCAGAGAAATTTTTGAAAAATGTAAATTCATTTAAAGTTTACAGGGACTGATCAATCTAGTAGTTTCAATAATGCAAATTAAACATTCTGAATCTCATTGCTGTTTACATGCATGTCTTAAAAATACAAATATATTTATTTTCACTGCCTTTAACTATTTCTATATCCAGTTTGCATGAACATTAACAACAGTGTAATTAAGAATGAAATTATGGCTATCACCTTCTTTTCAATTTTTATTTAGTATACTTTGAAATGTAGTTACAACAAAACAAATTGGAGTTTTATGTAAAAAAAAAGAAAAAAAGAAAACATGTTTTCAATGCCGGTTGAGTAAAAAACATTAAGCTTTTATATTTTAGCTTAAAATTATGATAACGCTAGAATTTTAAAGCTGTTTAACTTACCGGTCTTGTCAGCTGAACCTCCTCTAATGACCCTGGCAACAACGATAGCCCCTGTGGATTTGTCTCTCTTAATTGTTGCTCCCTTTAGAATAGAGAGATTAATAATGAAAAAGAGAACCAACAAAACAAAAGGAGGCAAAGAGGTCGAACAATGGAGTAAACAAAAGAAATAACATATTGAATTTATTATGGCATGTTATTATGGAAATCTTTTGACTTAGAGCCCTATCTGGCTCATGCAGTATTTTGTTTCATAGAAAGTCTACTTAGATGCCCTCATGAGGAGCTGAAAAAGGTTATCCAAAACCAGCGTTATTTACAACAGATGTTATTGATGTGGTGCAATGCAAGACTGGAAAGAGCATCTGATGCAGTTGGCTGGCTGCAATCATCCCCCGCTCGGGTGAAACCCTGTTGTCTGGAAAATGGGAACATGTTGGATCAATCAGTGGGCCAAAGTCAGAGAAAGGTTAGTCCTCTTCCAGTCTCCGATCAGGATCAGCGCTCAAGTATGTTCACCATTAGTCGTCCAAAGTGTCTTTGAAAGCAAGCCTCAGCGAACACGTGCCTATTTGATAAATGAGTCACTGAAAACATTTGATTTTTCTTCTGGTTTGCAATATATCTACAAACCTTGGCAACAGAAAGTGATAAAAAAAAATGCATGTTCTCTTTAACCTGAATGGAGTTTTAAACTTAATTTAAAGGTAATGTATAACACCTATTCTATTGTATTAAAACTAATTAAATTGGAAAAAAAATGCTTATGCGTGTAATTGCTTGAATGTGTTTGAAACAAAAAGTGTAGAAAAATAATTAATTTGAGCTATTTTTATTTTGAAAATAAAAATACAGAAGAAAACATTTAAATAATAATAATAATAATAAAAATATAAATAAAGTTTTGTGGCACTTGAAGGTGTGGCTCCTGAATCCTCACTAGATATTTCTTTTGTCCTTTACTTGATCCAGGAAAGTTTTTAGAATTAAGAGACAATGACATGGAATAAGTAATAAAGCAGAACATTGGGGCAGCATCAGGAAAACTGCCTATGATTAAAGGCCTTGAAACTAATCAGTGTGCAAAAGCAACAGAAAAATGAATTAACCCATCCTTCTAAATTTGCAGTCCTGCTTTAATGACTCCATTATGATGTCAATGTTTGCATTATTTCACTTTAGATAAATATAAGAGCTGGAACTGTAGCATGTTGTGTGTCACAGTGATATGTAGCATAAGAGCTGTGGAATAAAACTTGGCTTTAAGAAAGAAGTGAAAAGTTCAAAAAGAAATGCAGGACAGACTGCAGCAGGAATCCCTCCCTTGGTTGTTTTTTCATGATCCCCATCAGGTGTTTCGTCCTGCTTGGTAAAAATGTGTGTCTGGAATCATGCTTAAAACATGACAAACTAGATTTAAACATCAAATCTAACCTTAAGCTCCAAGCCTGTCAAACTGTTTGATCTAGAAGATGAACTTTCAGTATCTGTAGATGAATGAATTCTTGGGAAGCTTTTCAGTGCAGCTGCGTTAAAGGCCAGAAGGGTCCGACTGTAATAAATTAATAATAATTTATATTTTAATAATAATTTTTCTTGATAACACTATAAAGCTATGAATGAGTTAAACAAATATGACAATTCTGTGTTAATTTTTGTATTTCTAGAACTATTCATATTCTCATATTTATTTTATATTATATTATATTTCATGATGCTTGTGGGGATAAAAAAATATGAGCTGTATGTTTGTCTAGACATATCAGTACTGCTGTTGCTAATATGTTTTCCATCTGCACTTTTGCGACATCTAGCGGTAAATTTGGTAACTGCAATCAATTGTCCTCTTCTAATTGGTTGCAGTTACCAATTAGATTGGAGACTAATAAGTCTTTCATCTAATATCTATCTAAAATTGCCATAAAAGGAAAACAATACAATTCTTTACTATTACACAGCCGTAATTAAAACTAGTTTTGATTTTTTTTGTTTCCATGTGCTTCATCAGCATATTTTTTAAAGATAAAAGATTACTCTAAATATAAATCTTTCTACAGGAAATATTGACATGAATTCAGAAGATTTACAACTTATCTGTGTCTTTATAGTTTGATTGCAGATAGAGTGCGGTACAGATACTCACCAGGGGCTCTTTGGTTTTGACCAGGGTCACAATTTTGACCGAATCTTCTTCTTCTGTCATTGCATTATCAGGTAGGGGTGGCAGGGCAGGCTCAAAGTCTCTCTGAGCTACAGAATCATGGGTACGCAGGAGACTCTGAAAAAAATTAAAGATGGAGTTCGGCATGAAGGATCTAACCTTGACCCCTGGAATTATGGCAGTATTTACAACATTACAACAATTAGAAAACAAACAGGTTTAAATTATTTTAATTGCCAAATCAAGACTGAACTAACTGGCCAGATGTAAGAAGATCCATTAATCAGGATTCCTCTATACTGGTTCTTAAAATCTGATGTCCTGCACCATTTAGGTATGTCTCTACACACTTGAATCAAATAGCTAAATTACCTCCTCATCATGCATCCTTTTTAACCTCTGAACAGCAACATCCTTTGAAGTAATCCTTGGCTATTTTGCATACCCAAATGGAAGAGCAAATAACTGAGGAACTGTGAGCCCAAATGACCCTATTGTGTGATACATCATTTGAAAGCTAACACCTTCTAGTTTCTGAAAATATAAATGAAAATTGGGTAAGTAAAAACACAGCCTAAGTTGCATACGTTCAAACAAACAGTTCAACTTGGGAGCTAAGATTGAGGAACACTGCCCTAAAAGAATCGCTGTAAAAAGGAACAAACCAGAAATGTGGAGTTGTGAGAGTTTTATTTAAACTGGTCATAAACTACAAGTTCCAACATGTTACTGATAAAACCTGTTGCTGATATTGCAATTCCTATACAGTACAGATACAGTACTAAAATCAGTTTACAAATGTATTGATATCATTTGAACAAAATCACATTTTTTAATTTCAGAACAACACATTTCAAACTTTTTAAAGATTTAAAGTGATAGAGTAACACAATCTGGAGGTAAATGATATGTTGTCTTGAAGTGACCCTGCCCCATTGACTCTGAATCTGAAGTAGCCTGACTAATTGGTGAGGACTAAGTGTTAGTCAACTAAGACCATTAGCAGTGCTATTATCATTATTATTATTGTAACTTTAATATTTTTTTCATTCTATTTGGTTTGTTTTCTCTATCAGCGATCGATCCATCCTCTGCACTTATCCATCAGGCTAATGGGGGTCTGGCTCCTAACTCTAACAGCCTGTTGGGCGAAAGTTGAGAATACACTGGATGAGGTGGATAATTAAGGTTCTGAAAGTAAAAACCCTGCCTTGTTGTCCTACTTACTGTTCACTTAACCAGGTGATTAGCCCAATAGGTGATTCATTTGTATTGTGGAGCTGGAAATGCAAATGGTTGGAACTGATCTCTGGATAATCCAGTTCTTCTGTATCTGGATTATCCACCTCTGGTCGCCAGTCCATCGCAGGACAGCATAGAGACACAACCATGCGTATCCAAACCAATCCAATCCAATTATTTTCATAAAGCACATTTAACAACACGTTATTGAGCAAAGTTTTGTACATACCAATATGAAAAATTGTTAGAAAGTAAAACAAAAATAAACAGTGGCAATAACATCAGACAGACATATATTAAAGTACACAACTGACTCACGGGATAAAAACCAAGGGAGTTTAAAGCGGAAATGAAACGCTTCATCAAACCAATTTATTGATGAGATTGTGTCTTTCTAATATCAATATTTATACAAAAAAAAAAATATTAAAAGAAAAGAAAAAACAAAGCTTTCTTCATAATGTTTTGGCAAGGGTGTCGCAGTGTTAACCTGACTCCCAGATGGATTTGCTCCGCATATCCATCTGGAAACCTTCCGTAGAAGTAATTTTGGGAAGGGGCAAAAATACTGGTTAGCTGATTGGCCTATGTTGGTGATAGACGGGCCAAATAAACCAATCAGATCAACGAAGCATATAACGTACTAATAGAGCGACAACAAAGAGGAGCCAATTGATAGATCAAACTCTTGCTGAAACCAGTCGGGAGAAGAGCAAAAACATCTTTTCCTCTGAGAAAAGCCTCCAGAGCAGTGTTTTGCTCTTCTTTCAGTGAAGAAATACTCTGTAATTCCGATAAAACTTGCTCGATAGCCACGCTAACGCTAGTTTCATCGGCTGAAGCCGCCATGTTCTTTAGACTCAACTGTCGCACTTCTCGTTGCGTCACACCTCAACCCGCCTCAAAGCCAACGCTGATTGGACGTTCGTTTGTTGAACGTCTCCAAATTTTCTTCAACGGAGAGTCTCCAGACTGATTAGCGAGTGAAATCTTGAAAGCTCGCGAGATCAGGATGGTCTCACGAGGCTATCACCGTGTTGCAATAATCCAAACATTGACATCACAGGGTTGGTTAATGCTTCCGTTAGAAGTAGAATATGATGGCGATATATCATAACCATGAAACACTTCAATAATAAGTGAGTCTTAAGAAGTGATATAAAAGAAGATAGTGAAGGAGCCTGTCTAACATGCCGTGGTAACTGGTTCCACAACAATCAGCAAAGGCCCCTCTAAGATTCAGCATTGACCTCGCAACAGCAAGGATACATGCGGCCAATCTAAACACACCAGTAGACATAAATGAGAACTTTTTGAACTATGTGAGGAAAAAGGAGTACCCAGTGAGAATACGCACATGCACTGAGAGAGTAAGAGAACATGCTAAATTCATGCTGACCCAAGACTTTATTGTTGTTAGGCAACAGTTCTATAGACTGTGTCACCATGAAGCTGCTCTCCATCGTTTGTGTTTGTAATTTTTTGGGCTGCTTAATTTATTGCCTGAACAAGATGCAACTTGCTATGCCAGTTACTGATCATTTCAACACAAGATATGTCCTTTTTTAGTCCTTGCTGTAAATTGTTAAATTATTGCATAAATAAGTGTGCAGGTGGCTCAATGCATAGTGTGCACGACCCATGTACGGAGGCCTTAGTCCTCGACGCGGCCAAACCGGGTTTGAATCTGGCCTACGGTCCTTTGCCGCATGTCTCTCCTCCTCTCTCATACCCATTTTCCTGTCAGAGAAACGAGCAACTAGTGCTGTAAAAACTCAAATATATATATATATAATGTGTTCATATGTATGTGTTACTTCATGTGAGGCTATCACATAAAAGTCCAATAAGAAACATCCAAATAGTTGGTTTTCTTTTTTTTTTTTTTTAACATAATGTGGCTATGGCAGGGTAGGAACCTCTGTTTTGCTTAAAGAAAAACATTATTCAGAGTAGCTGTTAATCTTTCACTGCAAGCCAGAATCAAAAAAAGGGGAGATTTACTGTAGCGAAAAGGTATGAGAATATGGGAAACATCTGCTCATCAACTTCGTTTTACCAGTCAGACAATCCATCTGTCAGTTACTTTACTGGTTATCCCAAAGTCTATCAGCGCTTGCTCTGTTCAGAAGCTGCCAGCGCATGAGCAATGCAGCTCTGGCTACTGTCAAAAGGTGTTTTTTAAGGAAACAAACACCCATTTACAGCATATTATACCCAGCATCGTTCATAAGTATGTGTGAGCTTTGGCACTGCGGCCAAGTATAAACAGGTCATTAGGGCTATTTAAACAAACTTTTACTTGCTGTCTGGCTTTGACTCCTCGTAAATTAAAAAGAAAAACACAACTTTGGCAGCTCATTAAAAAAATGCGTTCTCTGAGCGGCTAGGAACGCATGAGTGCATCTGAGACATGGCTGTCAGCAGGTTTGAAATATGAAAACCTTCACTGGAGCAGTCTGGGCATCTCCGGGTCCACTGTAATAAACATCATTTGGGAGAACATTAGCCTCAGTGCCAGTGCGGTTAATAGATGTCGGCACCTCTCAGGGGGGGCATAGGCATGTGGTGAAATCAATTTGAATACATTTTACTGCTGGATGGGTTTGTTACTGTGTGTGACTCATGTTTGAGTTTATTGTAGGAAACAGAATGCTGTCAACCATTATAGCTTCTGTGTTTAGTCACTTTAACGAAATAGCTCAAATAAAATTTGCCAGGATGAAAGTTAACTTTATACAATCATGGATCCAGAGTCAAGGTGGTGTGCAAGTAAAGTAACTCAACGTGAAATGGCGTTGGTTGTAAACATGCTTGTTTAAATTTCTCCTTACAATGTGAAGCTTCCAATTGGATTAAGATTAAAAAAAGTTAGCTACATGTTATGTTTTAGTAATTACTGCAATTGGTTTTATGGTAACAGAAACAAAGTCATCCAACCTTGATTAGACAAACCATTAAAATCTCCAAGAGATGATATGAATAACATGTTTTCTGGGAAACCACTTAGACGTTGATATTTTATTACATCTTGTAAAAGTATTCCCGTCTTGATGCTTCTGCTAATATTTTTAAAAGGTGATTTCATTTATTTAGGGAAAGAAACGATCCAAACCAACCTGTTTCCATGTTACCCGCCCCACCTTGTTACTGCTTGTTGCTGCTTCCTAAATGAACCCTGCTTTACAATGTGAGGTAGGCCCAAAGTAGCCCATAATCAGCCAGGAAAATGTTATAAAATCGTTTTAAGGCTCTAGAACTCCAATGAACAACAGTTAGAGCTGTTATGCACCAATGGAGGAAACACAGTGAAACTTGCCAGGTGTGTCTGGCCTACAGAGATGACTCCCAGAGTACACTGACGGCTGATCACACAAGTCGCAAAACAACCAATAACAACATCTAAAGCAGACTTCGCCTGGTTCAGTTAAGGTCAGTTTTACATTAAAAATTCAAGACAAAAAAAAAGATTTCTGAAGCAAAAACCATTACTGACCCAAAAGAACATAAAAACCATCCATCCATTCATTTTCTTACACGCTTATCCTGAGTGGGGTTGCAAGGAGTGCTGGTGCCTATCTCCAGCAGTCAATGGGGGAGATGCGGGGTACACCCTGGACAGGTTGCCAGTCCATCGCAGGGCAACACAGAGACACACTGGACAAACAACCATTCATGCACACACTCACACCTAAGGACAATTTAGAGAAGCCAATCAACCTAACAGTCATGTTTTTGGACTGTTGGAGGAAGCTGGAGTCCCCGGAGAGAACCCATGCATGCTCAGGGAGAACATGCAAACTCCATACAGAAAGACCCTGGGCCAGGAATCAAACCCAGAACCTTCTTTTTGCAAGGCAGCAGTGCTACTCACTGCGCCACTGAGCAGCCCAAGAAGATAAAAAGACCCAAAGACCTTTGGTAAACATGCTAACAAGACAAAACAACAATGTGCCTCTGTTATTGGTGATGGTTTGGAGTGACCTAGTCAAATATGAATTTAAAGTCAATTAGGATGCTGTGAATAATCCTAAAAAGGCTCTTCCTGCTTGAAAGATCTTCCATTTAAAACAGATGACAACAATTTTCACTTGATTATGTTAGTCCCTAACCTTTTGGCTAAACCAGTAATAGCATGGATATCTCTTGCCAACCAAGCGTTAGCTAATACCCACAGGGGGGTCAACGGGCAATTCAAATAAAACTGATACGACTGCATTTGTTATTTGTCTGTACAAACAATGCAGCAGACAAAATGAAAGCCAGTTCCTCAAGGACCCAATCAGGAAATCAAAATAAAGATATGCATAAACACAACTAAACCTAACCATCGCCCATCTATGCCACACACACATTCCAACACTTTGGACGCTTTCTTGTGTTGCTTTGATAACAAAAAGTATCACAGTCTATATTTTAAAATGCAAATTAACATGAGCATTAAATGGAAGCAGGTCCAGTACTATACAAAAGTGGAGGTTATAATGTATAAGAATAGGCCAAAGTAGTCTTCCCAAATTCCGAAAGGAGAAAAGCGAAATGTGCACGTAATTAGTGGGTCTGTTGCTGGTAATCTGCACAAATTAAAAACTTTTTTTTAAAACTCTGTTCTAATAGTGTTGCATGTTTTCCCTCAGCTAACAGCTATAAGCGCGTCAGAGTGAAGAAGCTCAGCATCTAAGTTTGGCTGCATAGTTAAAGCTCAAGCCAAACTGGGTTTCTTGCCCCAGCACTGAAAACTTGTCATCCAGCTCAGCTATTATGACATTTCTTTATTAACCTTTTACAGGGCACTCAATGAAATACTTTGAAAATCAACATTTCAAGCCAATAGTGTTAATAGAATCCAGGAAAAGACCTTATTACCTTTGTAAAATTCAAAAATATGGATATTTTGATGGCAAAAATTAATGTCAACGTAATAACAAGAAATGCCAAAATGCCTGAATATATTAAGAGTGTTTTTCATGATTTTTTTTTTTGGTCCCACATAACCTTAGAAGCATTAATGCTGATACTGACACTTACATTTTTTAGTTTATAAACCTAAATATAATTGTTAGCTATGCTTATTAACTTTTTAACTTTTCAATTAGTTGTTTACCCCTGTTTTTCATGTAACTTTTTTTTATCAATAATTAATGATGATTAATTGACTGTAAGTAATATATATCATTCAAGGGCTTATCTAATTGGTCATGCCAAAATAAGATGTACAGCCATGTAGCAGGATCTTTGCTGAATGGCTGGATATAGATTTTGTGCTTCTAGATCTCACCGAGTTATCCAAAATGCTAACTTGCCCTATAAAGGGTAAATAAACATAAAATTTGTAAGCTTTGTCCTCCTAGAACCCCAAGTAATGAATATGTTTCTCATCCAGGCTTTATTAAAAGGGTTGGTCAAAATTCAAATAATTTCAATCGATTTATTTTGATTGTAAATTCCTCTTTTATAGTATTGTATTCTGTTCAATCTTAGAACCAATGATATGTTTAAAACACATTTTTTTTTTCTGTATTTCCATTACATCTTTTTCTTGCATGTGTCTTTTCTTATTTTGAACGGTGCAACGTTGGACTGGGACAAAGACTTTAAGCTTGGTGAAGTCTAAGACCACACATAATTTTGAAGTTAAATTGAGGCAATTCATCACCATGGAAAAAAATAGTTTTCACCTTAAAATGAGGTTTGGAAATGAGTGTAAGCAGTTCTTTGACTTCATCTCTCCAGCCTTGGTACAGCAGCTCTTCTGCCAACTAAAACAAAAAGAAAAGAATTATGGTTTAAACTTATGGGATTAACATCAAGCCAGCAAAAAAGGGCATTAAACTGAGATGCAAGGAAAGAGAGTAGAATAAAACTTGTAGTTGCAAATAGTTGTGTCATTCTTACAGATAATCTCATGTAGTTTCATATAGTATGGTTTTAAAACTTTGAATATGATACCCATGCTTTCTGATGCAGGATTATTAGAAGATTTAGCGAGAAATGTAAGCACCAAGTAGAGAAAAAGCAAGCAACATCATTTGCTTATCTTGTCAAGCCAATTATTATAATGATTTTTTTTCTTGGCATTCTCCGGAGACACTGTGGATGAAGGCCATTAGTTTCCACTCTGAGCGAACAGAAGCCTCCGAGAGAGGAAACAGAACCATAGTTTGGCCGTTCAAACATGTCTTCATAACTTAATCCAGGCACAGAGTGCCTGTCGAATCAAATCAAAAACAAAGCGACTAAAGGAAAGGAGACAAAAACAGGGGAGAGAAATGGAAACATGGCAGAAAGTACTGTGTATTCAGTTAAAAAGTGAGGATACTGGAGAGCTAATGTTAAAATAAAGGGGTTAGATAAAGATAGTACAAAGCCTTGCAAAAAGATTGATACCTCTGGAGGCTTTCAACCTTCTGTCAGGTTACAATCACAAACCATAATTTACTTTGCTTGGTTTTCAAGCAATACACCAAAAAGTGATGTATAATTATGGGAGGAAAAACATCTATCTATCATCGTCTATGCTGTCTTATCCATGCAGGGTTGTGGGGGTTGGGCTTGTGCCAAAGACCGCTGAAGGAAAAATTGGCTTTTCATCTGTTTATTTTTTTGTTTTACCTTTTACAAATAAAAAACTGAAAGTTGTGGCAGGCATATGTATTCAGTCCCTTTTTAGTTTAACTTTGATGATAAACAGATTTAAATTGAATGTTGATGTAAATTAGTAAATACTAGCGAACAAAGCAGCATGTTTAGACCAAGAACAGCACATTGGTCAAGTTGGAAGTCTTAGAAAGGTTAAAGCTGGGTTGGGTTATTAAACATGGCAATCTCTCAGAGCACTACTTAATCTAAAAATGGAAAGAGTTTAAAGCAAGTGGAAATCTTCACCCAGCAGTCATGGCTGCCTATTTAAGCTCGAGCAAGGAGACCATTAATCAGGAAAGCAGCAAGATTTCTATGAAAGCTCTGGAAGAACTGCAGAAATCAACAGCTCAGGTGGAAAGAATCCTTAAGAAATTTAACTGTTGTATGTGAAAATTCTGTGGAAACATTGCTTTTACATGAGATTTCTAAAAAGAAATATTTAGTTGAAATAATATATGAAGTTCAGTTTAAAACCATAATCAAACATGTGGACAAACTTGCTTTGTTAAACCAAAATCAAACTGTTTTTGTCTACTTTTAAAATACATGATGCAGTGCATTGTACATCATACTGGTGAAACTTGATGATGGCAGCTTTACACTGGGCATGCAAACTGGGAAACTACTCAGAGTTGGTCGCTGAGTGATGAAAGGTTCACGGGGTGCAAATACCTCTGCAGTGCAACATAGCAAGAAATCAATGTTTGATGGTGGACGGAAAATTATTTTAGAGTTGTAGTAAGCAAAGTATGTGTGTAAAAAACATTATCGCTTTGATATGTATGCTGTAAGTAGAGGTGGGAGTTAGAAAGATGGATGATGGATGAAGAATAAAAAGAGCATTTAACAGTAAGGACATTCTTAGCATAAGACAGACTGGATTATAAAGAGAGACATGGGAATCAGAACCTGGAATTTCGGTTTTCAGTGGGGAAAGTGCTTTGTCATTTTATCTGGAATCTAAAGTTTCTTATGTTTCAACAACCTGAAATTATAACTCCAGACTGAATACTTCAACCATCCCATTTTTCAGTCTCACCCCACATGACCTACTATTCTAGATCATGACATACAGACTCGAAGGTATTTCTTTATCTTTAAAGCAGCCTTCCAAGTGCGAATCAATTGGAATGTTTTGAAATATTTCCAAATAAGTACATGGGAAAACAAATTCCATTTGTGCATGTGGCTGACAGGGAAGTCTATTATATAACAGAGGGGAGAAAAACTACTTTATCTCTCTGCTGTCAAACTGTCGCCCACAGCAGTGTGTCTGTCTGCAAAAGCCGTTTGGAATGAGTCACACACTTCTGAGGCCAGACTCGCTGCGTGCTCCTGGATGGGAACGGGGCTTCGCTTCTCAAAATGCTTCAGTCGTTCGTGAATCTGTCAAGACAGGGAAAAGTTAGAAGAACGACTTTCATTAGAACAGAAAAGGAGGCATAACACAGCTCTGTTGGTATTTCTAAGTATCCATTCTTGACTTACAGCTAGAGCTACTGGCAGAGCATGTGTCAGCAATATGTCTCCGTGATTTACTACTTTCTTTAACTTCAGAAAATGACTAATTGATTAGACGTGTCCATCCTTTACCTTAAACAGCAGATGGAGCTTTTTTTCCATCAACATGCTGTGAAGGAACCTGTAATCCTCCTCTCTGTCAGTATGGAAGTCTGTTCCAGACATAACTGAAGATAACAGCTGACATACGCCTGGAAATCCAGAGAATACGGCAATTACTATTTACTTCAGTTCAGTTTCATTTAATTTATTTAAGCTATGCTCAGTTTAAATTATTTAAATTCAATTATAAAGGTTATTCTTATCAGTTAAGTGACATATAATTCAGTGTAACTCAGTATATATGAAATCCATAAAATGTATTTACATATGATTTGATTAATTGCAGATAAATTTGATTAAACATTATTTAATACAGTTTTTCATTATGCTCAATTCCTTTAACCTCAGTTTAGTTCATAAAAATCCAATGTGTCCTCAATTCCGTACTATTTAGTTCAGCAAAGTTCTGTTTAGATTTGATATGGTTGATTCCCTTCAGTACAAAATGATTCAGTTCTGTTCAAATTTAATTCAGATCAATTCACTATGATCAAGTTGGGTTTAATTTCATTTTGTAACAAAGAAATTAACTCAACCCCGCTAAATTCAGTTAAACACAGTTCAAGTGCATTCTTCATGATTGTTCAGTTAATATTCTAATTTGATTCAGTTTAATTAAATTCCATTTTCAGTTCACTTTAGTTAAATAAAACACACTCCACTTTAGATATTTCTGAGTGAACTCCTCCTGTTTTGTTTTATTTGAAGTTTAAATTCAAATTTGTATTTAAAAGTATACTTATACTTTTTGGCATAAGGTGGAAAAAAAATATTAGAGAATGAGAACAGATCTCAATTGATCACAGATTAAATGTATGACAGGAAAATGTGCTTTGTTTAGATTTCTTGATATTTTTCATTGAAGATAAAAAAAACTATAAAAACCTGAACATACCTTTGTGCTCAGCTCTGCTCAGCATCATCAGCCTAAGAACAGAACAAAAAATTAATCTGAATCTTGTTTTTACAAGGGAAGGTTTCCATCTTTCGACTAAATGCTGCCCCCCATCGGCGGTAATGAGTTTTTCAACTTTAACAATATGAAATAAAACAGAACAAGAAATGTTTCGAATAAAGTAGGTTAACAATTGAATATAATAACTGCTGCTTGTTAAGTAAGTTTGAAGATTATCTTTGTTTTTATTACTTTAGAAAATAAAGCAAACGGGAAAAAGGTTTTCTTTTCTTTTCAAATTAAAGGAGATGACATAGAGAAATAATTGCAGATACTAGTAGCACTCTAAATCTAATCTACAAAGAATTTCTACCCTTTCTTCAAATTCCAACATGACATATTTATTGCATTAGTGCTAATAACAATAAGATCTTCACTTACCGTGCATTATATGCATCCCATTAGTCCTGATTTAGGCTTATCCTACCACCTATCATCCTGAAAGAAGCATCATTTGAACAGTAACTTTACAGAGTGAGGATCTGAGCACTTTGACTGAATAGACTGGAAAAAAGGCTGTCTCTCATTTAGTCAATACTTATCAGAACTGACCTAAATTAAGTGGTCAATCAATACAAAAGACCGAAATAGGTTTTGCAAAGACTGTAAAAAAACACTATGGTTAAAGTCAGATATTTACATCATGTGCATAAAAAACAGGACACATTTTCCCATCACTATTTGGGTTTAAAGGTCTTTTGTTGTTTTAAATCAGTTCAGATTACTAAAAGTATTTGCTAGATCTTTAAATAAATAGGGAGAGGTTTTTAGAATTTGTTTACTTATTTAGATAAAATAAGAACATTAATTACTCTCACATTACCATAATTCATAATCAGGCCTGGGTTCGGTAGGGTTTTTAAAGGTATCAAAGGTTTTTCCTTTGTTACAGCTTTCAGAAGCCAAGCATTGTTGTGTTATTCTGTCCAACAGTTATATGCCAGTAATAAACTCATCATTTTGCCTTAACTTCATAGATTGAGTCAATTAGGTCAAGTAATTGTTTCAATTCTGATTAGAATGTCCATTTCATTAAGGAAGGAGACCGAATCTACTGTATGTATGCAACTTAAGCATAGAACAAAAGAACCAGATGATTTTTTTATATCTTTTAAAATCTCATAACCCACATTGAAATGAGTATTGTACTGACATGGAGCAAAACGTCACTTTGCCAGGGACAAAGTGACTTTGCTTAAAAAGGGAGACTAGCTCACAATAAATTTGTTAGGATTGAGTTATTCACAGATGATGTGGTTCTATTAGCTTCATCAGGGCATGATCTACAGCTCTCATTGGAGCGGTTCACAGATGAGTGTGAAGCGGCCAGGATGAGGATCAGTGTCTCCAAATCCGTGACCATGGTCTTGAGCCAGAAAAGGGTAGAGTGCCTTCTCTAGGTTAGGGAGGATGCACTGCCCCTTCTTGAGGAGTTTAAGCATCTTGGATCTTGTTCACGAATGAAGGGAAGATGGTGCGGGAGATCGATACTCGGATTGGTGCGGTGTCTGCCGTGAAGTGTGCAGTGTAACGGTCTGTTGTGGTGAAGAGAGAGCTGAGCCAAAAAGCAAAGCTCTCGATTTACCGGTCAATCTACGTTCCTCATCTATGGTCATGAGCTTTGGGTCATGACAGAAAGAATGAGATCCTGCATAGTGCATACAAGCGGCTGAAATGAGTTTTCTGCGTAGTGTGTCTGGGCTCTCCCTTAGAGATAGGGTGAGGAGCTCAGTCATCCGGGGAGGACTCAGAGTAGAGCCGCTGCTCCTCCACATTGAGAGGAGCCAGTTGAGGTGGCTCCGGCATCTGGTTAGGATGCCTTCTGGATGTCTCTCTGGTGAGGTGTTCAAGGCACGTCCCACCGATAGGAGGCCCAGTGGGAGAACCAGGACATGCTGGAGGGACTATGTTTCTCGGCTGGCCTGGGAGCACCTTGAGATTCCCCCGGAGGAGCTGGACCAAGTGGCTGGGGAGAGGGACGTCTAGGCCTCCCTACTAAAGCTGCTACCCCTGCGACCCGACCCCGGATAAGCAGAAGAAGATGGATGGATTTTTTTTAAAGGAGTTCATCCAAACAGAAAATGAAATGTATATAAACATCTTAATTTGAATAAAGTATTGCTTTTTTATCTCTTTCATCATTCTAACATATATAAATTAATTTAATAATCCTAACAGGAAAAGAACACATTTCAATCAGTGTCAGAGAGGAAAAAAAAACAAAAAACATGTCTGGTTAAAGTTGTCTATCTGAGAGGATATGTTATAACTTAAGATATTTACAGATACTCTTTGTAATTTTCATTGACATCTATGTAGAGACTGCAGACTGCAGTGACATGAATATTGAGATTTTTAAGTACATACGTAATAATAAATATCATGCTTTTGTATATTTTATTTTTGTCAGTAAATTTCTGTAATTGTAACACATTGTACTTTTATTTAAAAAAAGAAATTTTCTTAAACCATTTATTCTTCAACTTGGAAAACAATGAAGTCCCTAAAAATATTATTTTTAGTTGCACTCAATTTAACAAAGAGTAAAATAACACGTGTTTTATTTAAAAATTCTCTGGAAGCTGAGGAGGTTATAACGATTTCGACATTTTCGCACTAACATCCTCTTTTATTTTGACAGGTCAGGCGGAAGTAGTTCCTCCCCAGCCAAAGATTAAACATAAGTGGCTCTCCTCTGCTTCCGGCTGCCTGCCTCTGCTGCTCTTCGCTGAGCTACATCGGCCGACTCCACTGCATATCGTACTCCGTATACCAGATGATGCATTGAGGGTGGGTTTTAATTGCACCACCCGATATGCAGTGCTGGTGCTCGGCGCTCCACTTGTAGCCGTTTTTCTGGTGAGAAAGGCCGAAAAAAGACACCAGGAAACTGTAGTGGAGAGGGAAAAAAAAAGAAAAAAAAAAAAGAACTGTGAGAGCAGACAGACAGGAGGCCACGGTTTCCCCCTCAACCACACACACACATCACCGGGGCCTTGATGGTGATGTATGCAAGGAAACCAGCAAGAGTCAGCGATGGGTAAATCAATCACCGGTTATAGTGTTGTCATATTTCTTCTAGGGGAATATATGTTTAACTATCTTAGTCTAGCGGTTGCTAACGTTCGATTAGCTGTTAGCTGTCACAGCTAGCAGTTAACTGTAGTCGCTTAGCTAGAGGTTCCGGTTTTAAGCTAGCTCAAATGTTAGCATGACGTTTGCTAACAAATTAGTACTTGAGAATATATTTGGTTTCATATAAAGGTTAGGAAAAGGCTTGAGCTTTCTTTTTCATGGAACAACATTGACAGACTGCTGGGGGCAAGATTAAAATCGTGCTAACTTCCCTAACGTTAGCTAACTTACAGTCATCTACAAAGTGTTATTCAGGAAAACCAATCTAGTTGACGTGGGAAAAATGACATTATTTGTTGTGTTTTCACAGGTGCAACGACAGAAAGGATCCCCAGTCCTATCAGGTACAGTTTCACCAGGTTATAATGGGGCATCAACTATCGGTGATTTGAAAAAGTATTTACATCTCATGAACCTACATATTCAAATTTTTCACCTTGTAGTAAACGTTAGTTTATTTTGATGTAATTTATGCAGGTAATGCAAACAAAGTAGTATATGGTTGGGAATAGTGACAAGGAATGGTTTGTTTTTAAATGTCAGCCAGTGTGGCATGCATTTGCATGCTGTCTCCCAATATTTATACAGCTGCTTGACTTTGAGTTTGTCATCATCCTGCTGTAATATCTAGTAGATCCTCTTCCAGAATTGCCTTCTTGAAAAAAATCTGTGTTTATGTCACTGTTGAAGAAAATTTACCTGGAACTGCAACTCCACAATAACTTTTCCAAGTTTAAGCCCCACCAGCTTCAATTATTGTCTATTCTTTATTTTCTAGACCCATAAATCTCAGCCAAAGAGCCAATCCAGCAGCGTACACCGCTACAACAAAGTGCGTGATGTTTCATCAGATCCCATACCCCCTTACAAGGTGCTGCGACGCTCTGATGAAAGTCCTGTCAGCCGACAAGGAGATATTATGGGGCAACATGGGAAGGCCAAAAGCTCTTTCACTGTTCGAGGAAAAAATGGTAAGCCTTGGTGTAATGGCTTGCTTATTTTGGGTTCAGAAAAAGCTTTAAATGAGGTAAATGATAAACATTTGTTTTGGATGGATAGTTATGAGATACTTAGGCAAATTATTATTATTAATTTAAAATGAGTTCAACCTATCATATTTTCAAGATAAGTAAATTTAGCAATCTAATCCTCTGGCATTATTTGCATTAAAATGGGACATGTTACATATGCATATTCTCTTGTATCTACAGTTGTGGTCAAAAGTTTATGTTTTAGGTTAAAATTAACAACTGAATGTAGGGACAAAAAATAACACATTTAATAGTTTTGGCATCGTCAAAATTTGCTTTACAGAAGGTCCTTTGAGTAAAGCCTGCTAACTTCTCATTGTTGATCATTTCTGGTATTTATCCTGTGTAACAATGGGTCATTAAAATGTCTGTAAGGAGACTATTGGTACTTTTAGTTCTTGGGGAATTGGTTGATTTTCACAGAAACAAGCTATTAATAGGTGTCTCTTAACAGTGCCATTGTCCAATGTTAAACAGGTATGTTGCTGTGGACTAAGAAATTGTCCTCTTAATAATCTGACCTTACTCTAAATATGCACTTTAGGTATAAGCACATGTGCTGCCCTCTTCCTTTTAAATGTGTTGCTGACTTCATGACCAACCCTTCTGGAGGACAGTTTTATGATCAGATGAGAAAAAGTCTGAGATATTTTAGCCATAGTGACAACAATTTTTTTAGAACCCTCTGTGAGGGTGTCAAGCATGGTAGTGGCAGATTGCTTTAGTTGCCAGTGCTTAGTTGGTCCTTCAAATGCTTTAACTTTCCATCAAGTCATCAGCTAAATAGTTTCTAAATAAACTT